AACATGTGACTGATGATGAGTAGTGATTCCGCATCGTCCACCTCCCCTGATTCTGACATCTGTGAAAACTTTGAAGCTGATGTTGCCAACACATAGCTTATAGAACAATCAGAGCTGAATGACTTGGTACGTGATCTGGGCTTGCCTAAAGACAAGGCCGAGTTGCTGGCATCGCGGCTGCAGCGGTGGAACTTACTTGCTGAAAACACTAAGGTTACTGTATACAAAAAGCGAAATGTTAAATTGTCCGGTTTCTATGACACGAGAAAATTGTTGTTACTGTTCTGACGTGGGACTGATCAAGGAGCTTGGCGTGAGGCATATCAGTGATGGATGGCATTTGTTCACTGACTCGTCCCAAGTGTAGTATTAAGGCCACAGTTCTCCACAATGGAAATGTGTACCCAACTGTGCTTCTGTTGCATGCCATCAATATAAAGGAGACTTACGAAAGTATGCAACAGATATTCCAATGCACTGAGCTACGATACTTACTGCTGTGACATATGTGCTGACTTCAAAGTCATTGGACTTCTAATGGATATGCAAGGAAGATTCAAAAAATATTGCTGTTTCGTGTACTTATGGGACAGTAGAGCAACTCAACAGCACTACACAACAGAAAAGTGGCCAGAGAGCACGGAGTATGCTGCAGTGAAAATGAGTGTAAAGCATACACTTCTTGTGCAACCTGAACATACCTGTCTACCACCCCTGCACATCAAGCCTGGTTCGATTAAAAACTTCGTCAAAGCCCTCAAGTGAGATGATTTTGCATTTCATTACCTGAAACAAGTGTTTCCGATGATCAGTGATGCGAAGCTCAAAGAAGGGATACTTATTGGATCTGATACTCGCCAGATAATGCAGACAATGTTTTCGAATGCCAGTTGACTTTATCTGAGTTAGGAGCGTAAAGATCATTCAAGGCAGGGTGTACCGAATGTGTGAGCATAAACAAGGCAGAGAACAACAAAGACATCACAGAAAAGCTCATTGCGGACTACCGGGCTGTTGGTGATCGGATGTCACTCAAGATTCACTATCTACACAATCATTGCGACATTTTGCATGAGAACTTGAGATCTGTTAGCGATGAACATGGTGAGCGCTTTCACCAAGACATTTCAGGGATGGAGCAGCGCTACAGTGGCAAGTACACGCCTTCTATGATGGGTGACTTTTGCTGGTTTCTGCAAAGTGAGTGCGTTGGATCATGTAAGCGACGATCTCGGCGAAGTCCTTATTTCCTAGTGCCAAGATGCAGTCAGTGGTTTTCGGCGAGTGTTGCAATGATGTTTTAAACGTATTTGGCACATAAAGGCATTATGCATATGCTATGGTTCAGTACATTTAGAAAGAATTCGCAGAACGTAGCCTTGACATTACTGAAAATAACCATTTATTTATAACAACGTAACCTGACGTGCTAGGTAGCATCGGAACACACTTCTATGATCAGTGGAGTGTTGCTATAACGTAGGTACATCGGTATTTTTGCTATAGAAACGAATTTTTTATTGCAAGGTGTTATTATCCCACCGGTTCTATATCGTAGTATATCCGCAGTGTTAGCGTAAACTGCTGAAAATGCTCCCACACGGGTGTACAAAGTTTAGCTTGACTTCGCTTTCGCCTTACATGTGGTTGCAGCGACCACATAGTCACCCCTTGGTTAGGTATCTTACAGATGACCGACTACGGTGGACTTCCTTGACCTTGACCTGTTGACCGAGCCAGCTTGTGGCACTGACTACCTGTGAAGGTCGTGCCAGGGAGTTTCTCCATTTTGAAGTTTCTCTACCGTGACTCCAGAGACCAGGTAAGGGAAGCTATCACATGAGTTCCTCAACACAAGTGGGGTACGTCAGCGTTGCCCTATATAACTTTTCGCTTCAACCTTGTGATCGAAAGGATTATAAATGACACCGCTCTTGCAGCCTCCTTTGGATTATAAGACTTAAGAGTTAGCGACCGGGATACGGCTCCTTGGCCAATGGAAGCACTACTAAATACGATGAGGTGTTGCACTGCATGCGTCGGTATACGATTTGCACCTTCATAGAACCGATACACCAACGCTTCTTGCTATCAGCGAATGAGCATTCAAAAGATTGGATCAATTTATTTACCCTGGTAGCTGTGCCATTATTGGTTACATCACTAAGGGACTTACTTTTCGTGTCGGAAAGGTCTGTATGGTACGAGGGTCATTCAATTTTCGGTATAAGAACTTCTAATACAGATAGAAGCTTACTTTTTATTGTTGTTGTTTTACTTCGTTTTCACATAGACGTAATTTCTTTTGCAGATTGAAAAAAAACTTTGAGACTTTTAGCGATTAACAAAGATGGTCGAGCAAGAAGCATGCTCCAGGATTGAACAGCGGTCAGTTATCAAGTTTTTGGTTGATGAAGCGTGCAAACCAGTTGAAATTCATAGGAGAATGTCAACTGTGTATGGTGCCACATGTTTCAGCCGAAAAATGTCTACAAATTGGCAGAATTGTTTAAAGAAGGACGGGGCATTGTTGAGTATGAAGACAGGCCTGTGATGCATACAGAAGTTAGGTCTCCTGAGGTGATCGAATCAGTCAATGACCTTATTCAGTCGGACAGATGGGTGACATTTCAAGGACTCTGAGCTTATCTGTTGGGACAGCACACAAAATTGTCTATGATGACCTTGGCTACTCGAAGGTCAGCTGCTGGTGGGTGCCAAAGATGCTTACTGCAGAGCACAAACAGAGGAGAGTCGAGTTGTGCCAGCAGTGTCTCTGCCACTATGAGAAGGATGGTGTTGAGTTTCTGAAGAAGGTGGTCACATATGACCAGACATGGGTTTGCCAATATGAGCCTGAGTCCAAACGGCAGTCCATGGAGTGGAAGCACGTAGGCTCTCCAGTGAAGAAGAAGTTCAAGTCCCAGCGGTCCACGAGGAAAGTGATGCTCACCGTTTTTTGGGATATGCAAGGCCCAATCACCATTTCATTCCTTGAGAAAGGAAGCACTGTGAACAGTGACAACTACTGTGAATTGCTGAGGCAGGTCAAGAAAGACATAAAGAACAAACGCAGGGGTCATCAGTCAGAAGGAGTCATCTTGCATCATGACAACGCAAGGCCTCACACAGCAGCCCGAACGGTGCAGACCATCAACGAGCTGGGCTGGGAGCTGCTCCCTCATCCCCCTTACAGCCCAGACCTTGCGCCTTCAGACTTTCACCTGTTTGGTCAGTTGAAAGCATTCACGAGAGGCACGAAGTTTGAAAGTGACGATAAAGTCAAAAATGTTGTGAGCGACTGGTTGAAACATCAGTAGAAAGATTTTTACGCTGAGGGAATACGGAAGGTTGTGCACAGATTGGAAAAGTGTGTGACAGTGCTGGGAGACTACGTTGAAAAAGAAAAAAAAGTAAGCTTCTATCTGTATTAGAAGTCCGTATACCGAAAAATTCACCTTATTTATTGAATGACTCTCGTATTTCAGAAAGGCAACAATCTATAGGGACAGTGGGATATCAGCTTGTCAACGAAAGACAGGAAGTACAACGCTGCCAGTTCGCAGTGAAGACATTAAACGCTTGGCAGCGTTTGATCATCAGTGCTTGTGGATACTGGTCCCATCTGGTGGGAACACCGGGTGGGCGATACTGAGGTCCACCAGCTTGTTCTTCATGAGAAGCTTTCTGGTGTCTCACTCGAGTATTTGTCGAATTTTAACCGCTTACGTTGGTTAGATCATGTCCGCCGTATGTCCTAGTTGACCGAGTTTCTCGGTATACATTGTACACCATCGCTACACCAAGCTGAGCAAAAGCGCAAGGCGGTTAGTCGAGGACGTGGCACAAATGCCCGGAGAAAGTGACTGAGAGACTCGGTCAGGCTGGTGTGTGCAGTTTTCGTGGATGATGGCCTCGGTAGAGTCCATGTCAGTGGTAGGAGATTCTAGCAGATATAGAGCAGTCGGTGGAGTTACAACACCCGGTTCCTTGCATACAGCTGTTAATTGCATTCCATTCTGATTGGTTTGGGGAATTTTTTTTAACGTCATTCCTTTATATTCGGTTGGCGTTCAACCTCATTTTCCCACCACTGTTATATCCAGTTATCCTGGGAACTGGGTCCACCGCATTATGATGTCAGGATCGTAGTTGTTTAAGTGAAATGAACTGATTGATAGGAACACGTCCAGGGTCGATCTATGCAATAGCAGTGGGATGTGACCCAGTCGCTTCGAAGACCGCATGTGAGTTCAGATTTTTCATCGTTGGCCACGGTGACGAGACGCACTCGTGCACTCGAAACAACTACATGTGCACACCCAGGAACGACCAAACTGCAGATCCGGATCACCAGCTAGCGCAACAATGGGGAATAAACCCGTTCAGGACAAAACCATGTGACGCCAACAGCGAATCCTGGAATTCACATGAAGTGGGAATTGGGTCAGATGAGCAGCTAAACACCTCGATATAAGACAACGAATCAATAGGCAGTGAATTACCAAGTTTTGGAGAATCGCTGTAGTTTACTTGACAAAGCCAGCTAGGCAAAATGGTCGAAAAGTAGATTATTTGATAAAGCGAAAAGGGTAATGGGAAAAGAGGCGAATAAAAAGCGTTTCATCCGTCGAGCGAGACGACCAACAGCTCCAAGCAGGAGTACGGACGGACGAGACCAGTCGACTACTGATGCAATGGGGATCGATCAACAACCACAAAAGGTGTGGGTACAACAGCGAGAATGTCCAATAAATTTCTCCCCGTATTTTGTCCGAGTAATATCCTAAACTCAGGACGTTACAGTAAGGCGAAAGCAGCAACGACATGTAGACGCTGTGCTCAAGTGAAGACGGAAAAAGGATGCCCCACCACCAAATGTGGCCTGTGAACAACGGTAAATTGTCAGCACCTATATGAAAGAGAAAGGTGCTCAAACTTGCATTGTAACGAAAGTTATGATGAGTTGAGCGGAAAACTGTTGCAAAGATGGCGAGTACTCACTTCAACTTCAGACGTTCCACGTCACTACAACCAACAAAGGTCCCAAAAGAAGCAGCGTATGCCTCGTCGTGAAGTAAGCATAGAAGATCGCAGTTGTATTCGAATTCCGTCGGACAATATTCACACAAATGTCGAACACAATCCAAGAATTGGGTGAAGACGGGAGAAATTTCGCGGGGATCAGATGATGTCGTCAAACCATGCCGTTCAGAAAATTTGTGCCCAAATGAAAGCCAATCTTTCTTGACAAGCGCCTGAATAAAGTGAACGGGAATGTTGAAGTTTTTGAGGTCTGAAATGCAAGTTCTTGGTTTCGAAAGTGAAATGTTCTCGCCAAACAGATTATGAATGAAAACAGCCCGGTAATCTAGTCGTAATGGTACAGCGCCGGGATAATGTGAAAAATCGACTGTCTCAGAAATACTACGAAATGAACAATATTCGACAGTCATTCCCAGCGAAGGAACAAATCCTGATCCGAGAACTCTCAGACTATTGTACGCCCGATAGACGGTGCCCACAACAGCCCAGGTCGTGCACCACAGCAAGATGAATCCGGTCACTCTGAGCCATATCTTCTTGCAAAAAGGAGAAAAAAGCAGTTCAAAAATAAAGGTCAGTAATATAGCATGATTGCGTGATAGAGAATGGAGTAAGATAAGATGAGCTAGGTGGAATCGTGACACTGAATTCACATCTGAGCCACATATGATAGGGATCATGAGAGTTCATGTCACCGCCCCAAACTCTCATCTAGGACGATGGCATGCGTCAAAATGTTTTCGCTTACATGAGAAACATTTGTCATGCCTCAAACTGTGATGTTCCTCCAATGAGGTGCGTGGTCATATGCACGTGAGAAACGACCCGATTAGGCACTTTAATGTGGCATAACCAGTACAGAAAGGCGCTTTCATCGAATCGGAGAGAATTCACAAGCGTCTATGGTTAAAAGCAGCGCTCCTGAGTCATAGGAGTGTACTGATCATGTTTACGTTGTACAGAGTTGCAGCTCTTCTCATGCACGCAGTAGTCTGTGGTGAGGTAACCGCTAAGAGTGACCCCCACTGCCAGCGATTCATACCCCGATAAGGACAAATGGTGGTTTGTAACAGTTCTTCGCACACTGGAGGTGCGTAAGCCATGTTGAACCATAGAGCACAAGAGATCAGTCTATTGGCCAGTGTTTTCATGACATCTGGGATAGAAGCAGCCTAACTGATTCATCTCAGCCACTCACAAGCCAAACAACAAGCCAAAGTCCAAACGATTCGGAAAAGTATCAAAGTTAGCTATGTCGTCCGAGTACTCCAAGTCGGCCAGTCGGTCGCCAGATGGAACCTCTGCTCCAGAGGAATTAAAAGAAGTCAGCCATGAGTACTTCCGCTATAAATTGAAAAGAAATTTGGAATCAGATAGCCCTGACGAATCCTATTTGAACGAATGAACTCGAAAGACATTTGACCACTAACATGCACACGGCCCCGGTATAGGTGTACTAGTAAACAATTTCACGTGTGTAGGCCCTTCAAGGAAAGTCTCCAATATAAGTTAGTGGGACCAACGAAATCAAAAAATACAGTTGTCCAAACATGTAAGCCTGATAAAGCAGGCAATTTGCGTACCCTATGCAGTTCAAGTACCACATCAAAGGAACCAAGATCAGGACGAAGGATAACGTGGAATTTACTGATCAACTCACAAGAGAAATAGTGAGATGTCGAAGTATGATGGATAAGAAAAGCTAATTCGGTGTTATTCGTTGCACGGCTCAAATTATTGAAGGCGCATTCTGAATATTATCCTACTCTGAGCGATGTGAAGCACTTGAGCTTGATCCAATATGGTTACGACCAAACGGCATTTTCAACCTTGTGCATGAAAAAGTACGCACTACTAAAATGATTGTGCCACTTCTTAAACAAAAAATGCACACCAGGTAAATAAACTGTGGTGGAAAATGACCAAAGCCAAGTAGAGCGGCAAACATTTCCTAAATCGATAATCAAATATGTGGTACAGGTTGTCGGTTGACATTCGCTCTAGCAAATCAGAATACGGCTTTCAGACAGTTTGTTATGCAATCCTAATTCTGGCCTGCTCTACAGCCGTAACCAAGCGCATAATCAAGGTCAATGTAGTATATGTCGAAAGTTCCAAAGGATTCCACCAAGCACACCAGAAATGAACTATAACTCCTGAATGAGCCTTACTCTTATGTTGCGCTTCCAGGTTTTACTTGGGTCAAAAATCTGCGATTAATCAGTGCAGCCGCTGAGACATAGGTAGGCTGGATATTCAGGCTCTATTTTGTCCATTTCAGCCGACCATGGACATGAACACTACATCATGTTCCGGATGCTGCTATCATATGCAAGTTTAACCACTAGCAAATTGGTCGGTTGGACACCGAAGTTTTATCAAAACTTCACCACAATTACACCTACTGGTAGAGCCGCTGACGAATTCGTAAGATGGACACATAGATCTTGCCAGTTGTATACTGAATCTTCGGACGCAATGTTCTAACACTTATATGCGACTGAGCTGAATTTACAAGTCACCCGCAACGAGTATGATTTGCGCAAATTTGCCAGTCAGATAAACGATGGCTGCTGATAGAACTGGTTTTGTACGGTTTCCTTGAATCCGTGAGAGCGTAAATCGCAGCAACAAAAAAACCATTAGCCTCTGCTTGTTGACTGCGAGGGAGATTCCAAGTTAAAGAACCAACAGAAGAGGAGGGGAAAGGCGCTAATGATTGAGCCTTATCGACCAGTGTCAGCGTCCGGATGTTCATTTAACTGAAGGATTTTTCTCGAGAGCACCCGTGTTCAAAGCTTACAAGCAAGAACCCAACTCAGTATGCGGTAAAATAAATGAGGTCTTGTGTGGGGAACTCCGCACACACTTTATGATTCAGTAACCCGACTCAGAATTTGATGCTGATCATATTCAGAAGGAGACCGTGCATGCAAGGTTTGTTTGGGGTCTGTTTGAGATAGGGCAATGTAGTAGTGTATGACTAAGAACAGTAATTGTATGTCCTTCTTCATAGTTGAGGATGGGTCTGTGATCGCGGCCGAATGCGGATAAACTTTGGTAAGTTGGAGCATTACCGGACAGTGACTACTCGCCTAGTAAACAGCGGTCGCACACTCTCATGGTCAAACACGAATTGCAGTGTATTTCGCTATGGATATCTAATAAATCCCATAACCCGCTAATAGTTGTTTTTCATGATCTGACTTGGAGAGAGGGTCATCGAACTACGATCAACAAAGTCCCCTAAATCACAACATAACTTTTAGCAAAGTTCTGCACACCGACCGTCCGATCTATGAGCAGACAGATCCAGTTTGTGAGAATAACGATAAGCTGATTTCTGGAGACCAGATAAAACTAAACTCGGGGGAGAAACTAAACGAATGCGATACCATCAAACGGTCTAGTACGCAGCAGAGGGCGTCAAATGTTAGGTGTGGTGAAGAATCCAAGAGGGTGAACAAGCATTTTCTGGCAACTATTGAGTATTAATTAGTTCCATCACTTAATTTTCTGCGTCTACGGCTAAAGTTAACCAAAAGAAAATAGCGACTATCAACAAGATGGGATGGATCTCAGTGTGAGTTGGCGGATGAACGCAAGTGAATCATTGTGTCCAAAGACAAAACATTGGATCGGCTAGGCCTCAGCAACGAACACCGAGAGCATGATACTCTGGACACCGTTACCGTTTTGCACCAGATCACAGAGCATATGATAATAGGGAAGATAGCAGAGGGGCACACGCCTATAGATGCGAAAAGTCGACTGGATCTGCGATACTGACAATAAACAACGCTGTTTCTCGTATACCATGAAAGGCGTTACTTGAAAACGTATGAAAGTCAGATCGCAGAAGTTATGTCCCTAGTGTCAGTATGAGGATTAGGTTGTAAGAAATAACAGGCGGGAATGCAATGTGCTGTAAAATTGCACAGTGATATGTGATCACCGGAAAGTAACATTCCTCACTAAGACTACATTATCGACGGCTCAGAATGAGGAGTTACAATGTGACACTAATCAACCTAATAGACATTAGCACCAATTACAAATAAAAGGCGAAAGTAGCAGTACTCTAACGGGAAAAGCTCAAGTTGAGAACAGTTGGTCCAGTGGATCAATCCGTCCTGGCTCACTATGCTACGACGTTGAAGTGAATGAGAAATGAAGGAGAATCACTTCGCAAAAGTAAAGTGACCGTTGACAAATCAGAAGACGGAACACAGTAATGCCATGAGATGCCTGATCACGTCGTATCAGACAATCTTGCTGACTTGTTATATGGTAGATCTGGTGGTGTGTGATGTTACGACTTCCGGTGTAAGAACCAGACTCATATGCTTGCGCCTTGAGTGCACAGAAGCGAACATCGCCGAACAGGGTGCATGGGCACAATGAACACATGACCGAGTAAAAGGATAGGGCACCACCACCATCGCCGGCACTTTGCTGCCGGTGAAGTGAAGTGAATGGCGCAGATAGTGCTCCTCGTTTGCATGCCGAAACGTACATTGATGATGGGCATCTGAGGGAGGGGATGACCGAGTAATTCTAACCCCCGGGAAATTTTAGCCACACGACGGGGAGGAGTAGCTGTGAAGCATTTCGTCTAACTGAGTCGAGAACATTACACGAATGATTCTTTTTATGGGGCAGTAATAGAGAGTGGAGAGAGGTGGGGCCAGTCGAGTGAAAAAATAAATGAGCGGAGAATAAGACAGAAACAGATCTAAGCAAGGAGACACACTTCGAGTCCGGCAAAGGTCCGGTAGTAGGGATCCAGTATAATTTGAGCCAGAGAACAGACTTGAGCAGTGCGATCCCAACCGTCCGAACAATGTACCAGAACGGAACTTCCATCGTTAAGTCGGGCAGCCACAGAAAACGCAGCTTCGAGAATCACGCGCAGATGACGAAGCCAACCGGACTTTTCGACACCGGAGGTGAATGCCTCCAGACTCATTGCGGGCTCCTGAGCCACTGGAAGTGAAGTAAAGCGCAGCAGATTGAGAGACAAAATAAACACATCACATTTCCTACTATGTCGTGAATGGCTCCGCTAAGGTTGAATGAGAGGCCAAAAAACTTGTCCAGAGCTGAAACAGAGATTGCAGCGCGCCGAATATAACCACATTCAATGAAAAACAGCACAATTTCACGGTCATACGGACAAGTTAATAATTATTTTTCCTTTGGCAGAGGTGTCATAAGTGAAAGAAAAACAAGTTGAATCAGAGTGAGGTTAGAGAGGAGGCAATAACACTACGGTAGACGATGATCATCTCCCCCCACGTTTTATAGAGTGGGTAGGCGAACCCCAATCAATCGTGCGTCATTCGCTTTCACTCCGAACAGAGAGCAGTAAAGAAACTGAGCCGCGTGACCGGTGGAAAGCTGGCAATGCACCAACCACTGGTCCAACAAAATGACATGCGTCGCAACACCTATTAGTTTATCGAACGTTCCTTATCGCAAATCCGATACAATTAGTATATTGTGGACACCGATTGATGAGCACGTGCGAGTGTTTGTCACAATTAGACGAGGGGCAGCCTCATTGGCATCACAGAGGAAACGGCGCAATTAAATTCGTACAAACGAAACTCCTTAGCTCCAAAGATGCGGTAGCCGAGGAGAACAGCCGTGTCTTTCATATCTAGTGAACCAAGATGTGAACCAGTTCAGCACCGAAACGCTATTACATCAGTCACCATGGCCATGTTACTCGAAATTATCCCATCTTACAGACATGCATTTCCAGCGTAAGAGCATGATAACACCTGGGCAAAATGATCCGCGTGAAGTACAGACATCATCATACATCATTATACATGTTAGCTAGAGGTGGAAGAACACACCAGCTATTGTGCCGTAATGTGAAAGAAAGGAAGAAAAAACATGCAACAGAGGCACGCTATGTTGATCCACCAGTAACGGATGGACATGGTTCCGGAGAACTATTGTGCAGCAAAAAAGGAGTCGAATTATGCACAGTAAATGAGATCGTGATTGGAGGAGGATGCTAAGCGAGAAGGGTAGGGAAAGGATACTCACAAAAAATACGCCACTGAAGACGGCTCCTAGCCATATCAGCAAGTGTATCCAGACAAACGTGTTCATCGTCTTTCTGACTCCAACCAAGGAGCCGAGAGGCTCCAACAATGGCCAACTTCGAAGTAAGGGCTTTCATTTTCTTTGACCAAGTTTTCGCTTGGCCATCCGTCCTCTTCTTCCAACAGCAACCCCCCGTGCGCAAACAACGAACGTCGAGGGAGTCGGCAGGCAGGCATGCGCAACACACTGTCCAGCCATGGGAGCCTGGTACGTGAAATAACGGTGCTGAGCGGTTCGCTTCTTCTTCCGGTGCCATAAACAAGGCGTCGAACACGCTCACTGCTCACACGACGTGAGCCAAACTGCAAGGCACCGGCTGTCGAACGTAACTAGTATTTTTATTTCCGCTAATCTAATGAACCAGGTTTCATAACCGTACAGTAAGGGTCGAACGCATGGCTGCATTGTATACTCCACCTTTCACAGCGAGTGATGTCGTGCCGGAGCCACAGATGGTGAAGATTAGCAAAAGCGCTAGGAGTTTTGATGTATTGTTTGTGATCTCGTCTTCAATTCCAACGGCGCTGATACAAATATCTGGGTAGTTGAATTTCCAAACCACTTCTAGTTGATCCCAACAAAGAGTCAGCGAAGGAGACGGTCCCTGCCAATCCTGGAGAAAATGTTTGCACTTCAGGGATACAAAGCATAGTCCGAAACAAATGACAGCCAGTGCTAATCTGTCCAGTGCCGTTTGGTACGTTCTGGAGCTATCACAAATTAGGGCAAGGTCGTCAGCATACTCCAAGTCAAGTAGTCGTTTACCTGAAAGCACTTCCACACCTTCTAAGTCGTATCCTGTGAACGCGATCTTGATAACTTCGTCAATAGCGAACTTGAAAAGGAAAGGTGACCGCGGGCATTTTGTCTTACACCGCTGAAGATATTGAAGGGCGGTGACAGCTTGCGGTAAGCTCTCAGTCTGCCCGAACTGCGCTTGTAAAGGGCTCTAGTAATGTTTACGTGTTTCTCGGCACGCTTTTCCTGAGTAGGCGGTCGCAAAGCGCCCAACCTAGTCGAAGGCATTATTGATGCTGAGGAACACGACCACGGTGGTTCACCAATAAATATTACGGTGCTGCAACCATTGGCGTAAGGTAAAGATGTGATCAAGACATCCGCGGCTTCGAGGAAAACCGGCTTGGTCCTCTCCCATCTGATTTTTACGAGCTTCAATCAATCTGCGGAGGACGACAGAGGCAAGTAACTTAGAGGCACTAGAGATCAGACTGATTCCTCTATGAATGCCGCATTCCGACAGTGAGCCTCCTTTGGAAATTGGGACTACCATGGAGCGGATTCAGTCAATTGGGACAGTGTCCCACTCCCACAGTTTCACAAGCAAACAGTGCAAATCGTTAACAAGAGCAGGTCCCCGAATTTGAAAGGGACTGGAGGAAGTTCATCTGCTCCGGTCCCTATATTCAATTTCAGCAGTCAGATATCACGCTGAAGTTCTGCATTTAAGTGCGGATCCAAAGAGACTTCCCAGGAATAAGGGCAATCAATGCCCGATCGATTTTCTGAGCCTCATCTCGAGTTGTCAGGCAATAGGCTGGCGAGTCGAACTCTAGCATTCGTCTGATGATGGAAAAGAGGTGAGTGGTAACCTCTTCAAACCAGATACAGAAACTGCGGTTAAGCGCTCAGAGCATGTGCAGTCCGTTTCGGTGTAGATTGTTCGTATTGTCCACGGATTTCAAATCGCAACATGAGAGCACGACTAGGTACTTCCCGGAATGTGTGGGATGTAGCATATGGCCGTCAAAAATGTAGGTTCGACCGTCACCAAAGTTCCCCAGGCTCATGAATTCCGACTTGGATGGGTTAACCGGAAGGCGGACTTCTGCAGACCACATGAAAAGGCAATTGAGGTCCTGCCGAAGTAGGCCGCAGTAGTCGTAGGTATTTACCACTTTCCACATCCTCAAGCCATCCGCAAACAAGATACGCGGCAACCGAGGAAGCTGAGGTAAATCGTTGATGTAAAGCAGAAACAATGTAGGAACCAGCACGGTGCCTTGGGGTAGACCAGTGATCGAGGCATAGCAGTCTGCACCCTCCACTTTCGCCCAACGAGAAGCTCGCGGATCCACTGGTGCTGTGAGCCGCCAATACTGCATATGCTCAGCTTGTGGAAACGAGCCTAATGGTTTACATTGTCAAAGCCTTGCTGAAATCGATGTAGATCACGTCGACAGACTTCCCGGTGGTTCACTCCTTGACACCATTCATGCCTCGTCACGACAGACTGATGATGCATGAACGACCTGGAATGAAACCATGCTGTGTGGAAGTCAGGAGATCTTTTGACCGGAACACTATAGCAAACATTTCTCACAATTTTCTAGGCAATCTTGGACAAAATGCGTCAGACAAATTGGCCTGCAAGTATCTACTCTGCTGGGGTCACCGCCTTCCGGGATTAGCTGTATTACAGGGCATTTCCAATCAATCGGAAAAGATGCTTCGGATAGCGACCTGTTGAACAGGTCAGTCGTGACAGGCGAGATGATGATCGCTTGCGACTTGAGAATCAGTGATTGGAGCACGTCAGGCTCAGCAGGCTGTGTCATCAAGGATGCCAAGTAGTTCACCCATCTATTCAATACCACAATCCAAACAGCCGAGTTAGCTAACGGCAGCGCACGTCGAACCCGGTACAGACAACTGGAGATTTACGAACACGAAAGCAAATTCGCCGCAAATGCGGACGCACGCTCAGTGCTGGAGGTTAGTATCTGTCCGTTCGCGCTCTCTATTGCTGGTTGGTCACCTATCGGGTTCAGGAACCGCTTCACATAAGCAAATATATTTTTCGGGGCAGTCTTTGCGGCATTTCTGAGCTGCTCTTCGAAATGCCGGCGGTTGCTTCTTTTCGTAGAGTTGCTACCTAGTATACGCTTTTTAGTCGTAGACAGAGTCAGAGGACAAATTGGTTCCAGTCTGCATCACCGTCCAGCTAGTCTACCATACTCCTTGGGGATTCACTGGTTTGACTTTCTGACATTTGGGAAGCACAAAGCGGTTTACCTCATCTTTTATAACTGATCAGCAAGCATTAATAGATGTAGTTCGTGACAAAGACAAATTCACTTATTTCGCGGCTCGAATTAAGGCGTCGAAGTACGTTACCCAGTAGTTGTAAGCTGACTCCAGTGCAAGGGGAATGCTGCGATGGTAGCTTGATGTCAGTAATGAGAACTAAGTGGTTGTTTGCTGTCAAGGGCTCTAGATCTGAAGGTTATACACATCGTTGAAAGCTATTAACATAAAGTCTAGGCACGGCGGGGTTGAACGCTGTGTTACGTGCATCAGTTGGCAGATGTGTTATGTCTCCTTAGTTTTAAATACCATCCCAACAAACTTTTCCTCCGCTTCACAATATCCGGGGGTAAGTTGAACTTCAGATCAGCATATTCGAGGACAATTGAAACCACCCATGAGAAGGAAAAGGGAGCGACTCATATGGTTCCGAAGATGTGGCAGGTAGTCCAAACAGCGGCTTAGGGTGTAGCGACAGGCTACATCCACGAGTAGTTATCTGAGCCTGAGATGGAGCAAGCACCACGGCTCCTCACATAGGTCACCATCGCTTCGGTAGACGCTCACGAGTGTCCCACACAGAGAAGACCGGATGTAGAGCAAAACGTCATCAAGGGGATTCGATAAGCTATCACAGTGGAAGCACGAGTAACCACTAAGATCAGCTTCAGTATTAAAGTACGTCAATCAGAAGCAACGAAGCGACACAGTTCATAACGCATGTTCAGAGGACTGCAGACGTTGATAAAGACTAAATGAAAGTTGCAATATGAACTATTGGGCGTTCCTGAAGAGTTAACGACCGATTTAATAGAAAGCGCGTCCATATTGTGATCACTTGACAATTTACAGTAAGTAGGTTGGTTACCCCCTCATTGGTCCACCACTTTATCTCGTGCGAAAATGCACCATACCGCCTCTCAGGTGGGACAGTGTCATCATCGGACAGACGCCGCATAGGTTAGTCCTTCTCAGCAGTGCTTTTTCCGAGGCACATAACCTGCCTCACTTTTACTCTGTCCTCACCGACGTCGATGAGCTCATTAACCAGACTGGGTAAAACTCAACGTCGTGATCACAACGTGCTTATAGAGTTGGATTGATGGACTTAGGTGCATGAAAAACAATTCGATTTGATCGCCTTTTATCAGTCGAGGCGGTTCATGTGATATTAGGGTGACTCGGGGCCTTGCCTGACCCAACTTATCATCTGCAGCAACAAGCCTTGCTTTATTTTGCATCCACCTCCATCATGGAGTTTTCCACGGCTCCCCAGCCACTGGACATTTGTATGGGTCTTTAGAGCTAACAGAGGACAAAATTAGTGGACCGTTAACCTCTGTCGGCATTTAGCTTCCAGAAAAAATAAGATGACGAGAAAACGAATGATCAGAGGAAGGAGAAAAAGGTTGAGTTGAACACCTAGGATGGAATCTAGGCCAGTTTGTGTGACCACGTGTCTGGAACTGCTCACAGGCAAACATTTTTGGCCACGATCTGGGTAGCTAAATGTAATACCGTTCTCTGGATGTTTTCGACCGCGACAATTTTTTCAATAAAGCAAGAAGAACCAACATCATAACAGAATTTACTGAATTCAGTAATTTTGCGTATTCTCCTCAGCTGTTTACATACAATGAGTGGAAAACAGTGCGATGTTAACAGCAAAATACAAAGCGGTCGAAGGTCCTTAGGCTCACGTGACCTGTTCCGAGGAAAACGCAATCATTAGCCTCACCAGGGTAGGGCTAGCGTGGTCACGAAATCCGTTTGTTTGCATAGATTTGGCTTCAGCCGCCGAATTGCTGCCGCCTCCGCAAACTGTAGTAAACGGGGATTAGCCTGTTTGCTAACTACCCTGAAATTGCCACGTGGGTTCTGACATTCAGGGCAGTCAAGTATGTGGCGGGCAATAGAGCTAGTCGGTAACTTCGGACCCTTAGCGATCATGTTTCGCGGAACATGCTCTGCAATCCTCGCTGACAGCCTTCTCTCAGTTCGGCCTATGTACTTACTACCGCAAGTACAATTTTGCACAAAATTTGGATGAAAGTGGGTTGAATGGAACGCAAGAGACGACAGGAAGCGACAGGTACTCCAACACCCTAAATATCAGAACTGGCAGAGCATTCAGAGCATGCAAGGGCATTTTCCGTATGCCTAACGTTTTCCAAAATGAAACGAAAGCTGATTTCTTCCCCATTTTGAAAAAACAGCGTAGAAGTGAAGCAAAATAGTGAGGCAAAATTTGCTACACCATCCGATCGTCGTCGTTGAACTACTCCAAGATCCCAGATCGCGTAGTTGATATCATCATCATCATTATACACGTTTGCGGCAGGTGGAAAACACCTTAGCTATTGTGCCGCAATACAAAAGACAAGAAAAGGAAAACAAACAGTGACACGACGGCTGAGTCCAGAGTAACGGATGAACATCGTTCCGGAGAGCTAACAGCTGGCCATCGTGCCGTAAAAAGTGAGTCATATTAGGCCTAACGAGTGAGATCGTGATTGGAGGAGGATGCTAAGCAGGAGGGGGGATGGACAAAGGAACTCACAACACAAACGACATTGGGACCGGCTCCAAGCCATATCACCAAGTGTGTCCCACCAAACGCTGTCACCGTCCTATGGATCCCTGCCAGGCAGTCGGGATGCACCAACCGTCGCCAACTTCGAAGTGAGAGTTTTCATCTCTCTCGACCAAGACATCGACTGGCCTCCCCTCCTCCTCCTCTTCCAACCGCACCCACACCGCGCACAATGCACGGCACGGAAGTCGGTGTGCTGGCATGTGCAACATGTGGCCCAGCCATCGGAGCCCGCTGAGTGATATAATGGTGCTTGAGCGGTTCACGCGCTCTACTTGCACCAAATACGCGACGCCGAACACGCTCATTGCTCACGCGGTGCTCCCACCAGATATGAGCTAAGCTGCGAAGGCAGCGATGAGCGAATATAACGAGCCTCTTTAGGTCTGTCGACATGATGGGCCAGGTTTCTAGACTACACCGGAGAGTTGAACAGACGGCTGCGTTATAAACTCTGCCCTTCAGGGTGTGAGTAATGTCGCGTCTGCGCCACAGGTGGCGGAGATGGGCAAAAGCACCCGAGCTTTTGCTCTACGTTTCGTAACCCCATCTTCAATCCCACAGGTGCTAATATAGTTGCCCAGGTACTTGAATACCTGAACGACTTCTAGCAGATCACCACCATGCGTTAGCGCAGGGTTGGGTCCCTGTCAATCTGGGAGAAGTACTTTGCATTTCGATGGAGCAAAACTTAACCCAAAACGATTGACAGCTAGTACTAATCGGTCCAGTGCTGCTTGGCATGTTTGGGAGCTGTCACAGATTAGGGCAATATCGTCCGCATACTCTAAGGCAAAAAGTCACTCATCAGAAAGTAGCGTAGTCGATAAAGCCTATTCAAAAAAGTAGCGGCTCAACCGAAGATTACTTAACTGATTTTTATTGCTAGTAAACACTGCCGCGCCTATCAATTGGTAAGCGCACAATGACAGGACAAAAAGTTGCGCGTTTTTACTATGCGCTCAAAATTCTAGAGATCGCAACATAATGGTGTGAAGCGAATACCGAATAAAAGAGCACTCACGGATAGCGTCTCCTATGATAAGCGGATCAAGTAAACTGCGAACTTACCAAGGATAGACCGGTTAGACAGACGCATCCACAGTGGTGTAGTGGCAGCTACTGATGCCTCGTAAGAGGATACTTGAGTGTTAGAGTCAAGTGGCTTTCGAAAAGGAAGCGCACCGAAGAAATTAAAAGTAAGAAACGATCGCCCATTGTGTTTTGATAGTTGAGAAGGCTAGTGGCCTGAAGTAAACTGTATCAAATCCATCTTGGCGTCTAGTGCATAAATTAATCGTCCTCTAAGAAGAGAGGAAGTAATAGTAAACAAAACAACAAGGAATTAACAGCAGACTCAAAGACAGTAAGAGAAAAAAGTAATTAAGTGAAACAAATACAAGAGTCACTGGCAATATTTTCATCCCATCATACCTTTCAACAATTTCTCCAGTGAGCCTCGGACCACATGTATGTTTTCAATGTCAAAGAACTGGATGGAGATGTTTCGGTAAACAGTCACATCTTCATAGCCTTTTCCTTGGGCTCGATTGGTCAGCGCATTAAGAGCGGGACGCGTGTCTACCACGTATAAAGGAGACGTGGATGGACTGGCTGACCGGATTGCTTCCAATAGCATTTGATCTTCCACACACCGGGAGGAGAAGCCAGCCAATGGTTGGCTTGAACGACACAGTGCAGACTGAAAGGTGAGATAAGCAGAAGGGATAAGCGACCGATGTAGTCCATGCCATAATAGAGCTCACAAGAGAGAGAGCGGAGGCGCGAAAGTGTATATTAGGGCTCAAATTCAGGGTAGAGTGGCGGCCTAAATATTCTTCCTACACACATTCGTCGTTGACTCATAATGATAATAATGATGAAACGAAAAACAGTTCCGCAGTCGAAAACATTTCAGATATATACGGAAGTAAAACATGAAAAATAGTTGTTTCATCGACAGACATGACAACGAAGAGTGCGCGTAATTAATAACGACATACTAAAATGTGCTTTTGAGGAAAACTGCAGATTTTCCAGGTCGTTTGCGACAGACATTGTCTCAGCGCTGACCTTAGCAGCCTGCATTGGCAATGCACTGCTGCTATGCCAAGCGGCCCGCAGTCATTGGCTCAACTAAAATTCGTCACCCATTTTGATCCCCCAACGACTGACGCACAACTTGGTCTTGTCAAGACTGTAGATGACCAAGCAATCAGAATGGCGCGTCTTCGGTTTTTCTCTTTTGTCAATCACCAATCAAGTAGCCGAACTCATTATTTTCTCCCCATCTCAGTACTACTCGCTAGTAGACTCTACCGAACTTAACCTTATTACCCTTATTCTTCCGCCATGGTTTTCGGCTTGCAATTAAGCCTAATTCAATATGGGCCCGATCAATCCCAATCGCACTTGACACACGAATCACAAGTTTAAAAAACAAAACAATAACCGGACCACAAGTTTGCTCCACGTCAAACGCTACGTTTATGTCCGAGCTCACTGATAAAATCTGCTCATTGAAATCGCAAGTTGCTAAAATGCAAAAAGCATTGACATTTGTCGAACCTGTCAAAAATGACCTATTGAGCTTGGATTGCATTAGTTACCCTACGAACAAAACCGATCCGGCACTGCTGAAGAAAATAAGACAATTAGTTGCTTCCGTTGCATCCGAGATACACGAGCGATAACACAGAAGGAAAAAGGTGATTGGCATTAACATACTGGATAAATTCAATCTAGATACAGTTAGAAGGACTATGCTGAAGTCTTGTGCTATGTCCGAGAGCGACTGCAAATGCTTACGACTAAAAAAGAAGGCACCTACACATTATTGTCCAATCAAATTTAAATTGTCGAGTGAAGAATCAGCAAACTAATTCTTCCGCAGTCAATCAGCAACCAGTAGATTCAATTCAGCGACATATGATCTGCCCGGACTGCATACATCTGCAACGTGTACTCTATAGGCTAGAGCCTAGTACACTAAAGAAAGAGGATACTCATGTAGAGAACCCCTTCACTAGACCTCTGGTTAAAAACACACAAAGCGGAGCACCAAGTGCCTCTGGTGTTGACCTCGGCAGTTTCATTCTAGAGGTAGCTACATCGAGAACTTGTACCCCCAGATTCTATCGCAAAGCCCTCCGTGCATTCACCGATCAATATCGAAACTCCTGATTTTGGCAATAGCCTTCCCACTGCCTCTATCCCTATCGATATACTGGCTTTAGAAAATACCACAAGTAAAGAAAAGTCTAGTGAAAACAGCCTTAAGCACAGTACAAACGTGAAACTATCAAACGTCAACTGCGCCGAATTTTCGACGACTGATACCGACAAAAAGGATGCAACCAGGAAAACGCCGACAGTTCCCAAGGTCCAAAGTCCAAACGTCCTTACTACTGCAACACTACTTGGCATCCTAATTAGAGCAAAGCTAGAGCAAATTGTCGCCTATCAAATTCTATTTGTCAACCTCCAAGCCACCATCACTACTGTTCCGCCTTCGGACTGCTAAAATCGTAAACAAGGAAATAATTACCTGAAGATAACTGAACATCGGACAACAACACATCCTATCAGACCCCAAAAGTGCATAACCCAACAGTTCACCACCGAACTGCAATCCTTTGTTAATAGATGCGGGATTGGTACCACAACCACTGCCATTACTAATGTGTCCAATAGAAGAAACAATCTATTTTCACTCTTCCTGCAGTGGGTACACGATACGTAACTGGTGGCAGATAGCAATCGCCTCGGCTGTTGCTGTATACCTGGACGGCTTTCACGAGCGGTAAAATGTCGCTCACTAGCAACAGAATCCAAACTCATGTGCTCAAAAACGGTTCATCCAGATTCTATGTTTACCCTGGTGCGCTATCACAATGAGCCATGTTGAGGAATACGTCGCTGGCACGTCATCGACCAGTTAGGATTTTCATTCCGATAACCTTGAACTTCGAACCTTACCGTTATCTGATGTTTCCCGTTGATCTTATGCCTATCAGTTGTAATGTTTTAGCCCGACGAGATGCATCGAAAACGAGCTTGTTCGATAACTTTTGTTGCTGATTTCCACGCCTGGGATATTTTTCACTTGAAATGGAAATTAATACATGAGGACTACAATTGCTGAAAAAATGTCTCGGTAAGCAAATTCGTCTTCGCTATTACACACGGACTTCATGCCAACTAATATGATTGGAGGATGGACACAATTAGTTACGGAACCTACTATGGTGCTTAATTTAATAATTACATTAGGAATATTCGACGCATACATCGATCTGCTGGACTGTCGTCCACGTAGTGACCACAAAATATTACAATTTGTTTCCAATATGAGATCAAATGTCAATCTGAATCAGCTTCCAAAGTATTCCATCCAGGGAATGGATTGGACACACCTCCAAGAACATTAGGTCCGATTTTCCAACTGGGATACATTTTCCTATCCATGTGTCTCTAACAGTTCTGTACTAACATCCAATGTGCCATAACTCATGTGACACCACAAAGTAAACGGGTTGCTTACGAATCTAAGAATCCAAAAATGGTTATTCACCCAGTAGACGCGAAAATTGCAAGCAAGATTTTACAAGACCGGAGACTTATCAATAATAGTACAAGTGTATGAATGGACCACTAGGATCAAACATGAGCAAGCGATGCGACTCAAAACGAAAAAGAAAATGCCCTACGAAAAGGTTGCAAAACGAAGAAACTCGTAGCCATTCTCGTTAGAGAACCAACAACAGCTCTTCTCCTTTCACGGTACTCTTGGATGAATACGATAAAACCTTTACTGACCCACTAGCCATTTGTGAGACATTTGGTGCCTCCATAATACTTGAATCTGATCCCACACCTGAATACTCTCTATCCTTAGCGAGCAACAGCATATGCAATGTCGAACTTTCAGCTATATTCAGCAACTAATAAAAATCATCAAACATTCTCTCAGGTTGGACCCTGAGCGCATACCTTGAACTGCCATTACAATGGGCGGATCAGACTTATCATTAATTCTGTTGTGTATGTTCACAGTATCTACGAACTAGCTATTGTCCTGGTGAATGGAAAACTTCACACACCATCCCCACACCATAAAAGCAGTCCGAAACAGTTATTAGATACTGAGCAATTCACTATACTCCTACAATCACCATACTATTTGAAAGACTAATGAAAAATTTGAGAAAACTCCTAAAGTCTTTGAACCTGAGTAAACACATCCCAACATGGCATGCTGAATAGAAGTTCCTGCACGATCGACCAGCTCCACTACCTTAATTGTAATTCGGAATATACAGACCCAAGTTATGCAATCACAAGTTTATTTTCGGAGTTAGAAAAAGCATTTGACCGTGTACCGCACAATCGGCTATTTAAAAAATTGATTCCCTTGAAATCCGGAACCCGCTTTTACGTTGACTTTCCACATACCCAAATGGCATCATTCAAGGAAAAGTACATGACCTTTGCCTTTTCCCCTCTATATATCAAAGTTCTAAGCATGTCCATCAAAAATTGCCAATCCTTTCTGTTTGCTGATGAAATCAAGACTGCATAAAAACTCCGGCGAGATGAAATTCGGAGCATACTACTTTTAATGCAAGATCTTCGCTCTCACGAAGTATGGTCTGAGAAGTGGCTGATAGAATTTTCGACTGACAAATCAAACATTATGTCATGTGGTTGTTCGATTCCTGAAAGCATCAGTTAAGAAAAAGTACGCCCATACGGCACGTTACTCGTGAACTTGGAATCGGTTGTTATTTCGACTTTAGATTTTCTGAAACAGCCCAACAACAAATCGCCCGACACAGACAAACAGTAGCTAACACATGCAAAAAAATCCATACAGTCCCTGCCAGATCGGAATTATTTAAAACTCCAATCGTTCCATTCACGAATCCCGCAGCTTCATCAATGGCGGCATGCGGATGTAGGACAGATAGACTGGAAAATTTAGAGGTCATTCACCAAATGTTTGATCAGCAGCACATCTGAGCAAATGTTGTAAATAGCTTCACATTGAGCCTCTCTGGCTGCCGACGTCTAAAAAAATTTAATGCTCCATCACAATTTCTTGCATCAGAAAACACACAACTACCTGAGTAACTTAGAGAAAAGACATGATAATCACCAAAGACTCCGCAACAAGAAATTAACTCTATTGATACCAAGGGCAAGAACAACCATTTACTGCACATTTATTTCATCAGTTATGGAACACCCTGACAACCATCGTTGGGGCATGAAAAACCCTACATCATCCCACATTAAACTCAACAGATCTTTCGATCCAAAGGTGGTGTTATCCATGTTCTCATTCGAAAAGTCAACCGATGTGTCAAGATGGACTAAATAAAAGTTAAAAAGCCAAAAATTGTCACAAGATACATTCACGCTAGAAGCTGATCATTTCCGTATACATTGAAATGTAAATATTTCAGGAACAGCACCTCAAACTATATATATATATATATATATATATATATATATATATATATATATATATATATATATATATCAATAAAGCTTTTATTCTCGACAAGGAGAGGCACGGCTTTACAGGCATGATAATTTTGACAAAACAATGAGTGATCAAGGATGTGCAAAAATCCGATATGTTTGCCATAACAGTGCTTGTTTGTGCAGGGGGTACGTAAGTATGTAATTGTGTGTGCG